ATTTTAAAATTATTATTTTTACATTTTTTAAGCGATTTCAAAAGGAATAGATCATATTTTTATCATATATTATTTATTTATTTATCTATATTTAGGATGATTTAAGGGATTTTAGAAGAAAATAGATCATATTTATTATTTATTATTATATTTTTAATAGAATATTAATCAGTATGTTTTAGTGATAACTTTATTGTTATATTTTTATATTTTTGCAAATTTATATTAGGTTTTTATTATTAATAAAATTTTAATATTTTATAAATTTAATAAATAAAATATACCAATTATTGATGCTGAATTGCTTGTCCAATTGAAGTCGATCAGCATCAATCAATCTCTGAATTGTTGCTAAATTAATACTAAATTGAGACCAATTTTAGGCTAATTTATAATTGAATTTCTTGTCTGATTGGAGTTGATTGGCATCGATCAGCATCTGAATTGTTGCTGAATTGATACTGAATTGAGACCAATTTTAGGCTAATTTATAGTTGAATTGCTTATCTGATTAGAGTCGATTGGCATCGATTAGCATCTGAATTATTGCCAAAATTGTGGCCAATTTTAGGCTGATTTATAGTTATTTAAGAACTGAATTAATGTTAAATGGCTATGTCTAATTGGAGTCGATCAGTATCTATCAGTATCTGAATTGTTGCTAAATTGAGACCAATTTTAGGCTGAATTTAAGTTCTAAATGGCCATATCCGATTGGGATCAATCAGCATCAATCAGTACCTGTTTTTTATTAATCAAAAATATGATAAATCGGCTGTAAATAGTATTAAATTCAGCCTAAAATTAATTATTATATTTTTAGCTAATTTGAACTATTTCAACTAGTAATTGTAATACATACTCTATATCATTAAGAAAAATATTTTTAGAGTTTTGAAAATTTAGTTGAATAAATTGAAGAAATAATTGATAAAACTAAAATAAATAAATTTCTACAATTATAAGTAAAACTAAAACTAATATTAAGTTTTTATTACTAAAAATATTCATATATATTAAATATAAGAAGTATTATTTATGCAATTAATCTTATATTAAAAATATATGTAAAGTGCTATTTGCTAATAAAAATGTATAATATTGGTTAAATATTTTAAACAAGTCATCTTTTAGGTAATATTAGGAATATTAAAAAGTCTTATAGGACTAGATCCTAAATAGTCTCATAATGTCTAATCTAGTTTAATGTCCTTTAAACTATAAGACTGCAGTTCTATAGAAAAATAATCATTTAAATTGAATAATTTCTTATCATTCTATTTAAATGAATTTTTTTATTATATAAGTCGAATAATTTTTTATCATTCTTTTTGAATGATTATTTTTTTATCATTCAAGTTGAATGATTACTTATCATTCTTCTTAAATAATTATTTTTTTATAAGACCATAGTCCTAAAATCGCAAGTCCTAATTTCTATAAGACTGCAGTCTTAGAACTTAGTCCTAGAATCTAGTTCTAAGATCTAAGTCCTATGGACTGGGTCTTCTTTAGGACTGAAAGTTTCAGGACTAGACTAGGATCAGACTGGATTTTAATATTTTTAAGTAATATATTATAATTATATAATAATAATTAATAATTAATAATTAATGATTATTTTTTATACAATATACATTTTTAAAATAAATTCTTAGAAATTTTTCTAATAAATTTGTAATTAAAACCAATAGATTAAAAAATGGATTAATATAAAATAGCATATAATGAATGATATACTATTAATTTTTTATAAAATGTAAGTATTAATTAATATTAAATAATTAATTTTTTGTTAAACTAGGAAATAGTAACTGTTTTAATCTAAAGTTTTATTTTTATGAAATATATGTGATTAAAAATGCAGAATTCTATTAGATGATAATATGTAAAACAGAATAATATTATATTAAATTGTCTTAGTATTTAATTATTCTATGTTTAGACAATTAATAATTATAGATGTATTTAAATTATATAAAAATACTTTCTATTATAATATTAAATATTTTATAAAGTCTTATTTTATTGATAATTATTATGTATTAGCTTTTGATTTACATTTATTTAAAAGAGCATTATACTTTAAAATTACAAATAGTTATTTTAGCAAATTATTATTTAGGATTATTATAATTAGGAGAAGCTATTAAAATATTACAAAAAAATGCTTCACAAAAATTTTAACAAAATTTTATTGCAATTTTAATCAAATATTTATTATATTTAATGATAATGTATTATATTATAATATATATTAATAGTAAAAAAATATTTAAAAATAATTCAAAAAATTTAATAAAATTTAAATATTTTTATTATTTTTATTTAAGTTAAATATAGATATAAAGTATATTTTGTTAAATTTTTTTAGAAGTTAATAAATTTTGTGATAAAATAGTAAAATTAAATAAAGAATATAAAAAATTAATGTCACAATTAATTGTATATAAAAAAGTGATTAATTATTTAATTTACTATTTTAAATAATTCTCTTATTCTTTTAACTATTTTGCCTACAAATTTGTAGGAAATTTTATTTATTAATTATAATTATTTTTAATTATTTTTAAATATTTAAAATATATTATTAAAAAATTAGAATACATTATAAAATTTATTATAAAATATTAAGTAAAAATTTAAAAAAAATGTAATTAACTAGTGATTTTTTTACAGATAAATAAATAATAAATTATAATAAAATTTTAACTCATATATCATACTATTTATCAATTTCAGAAATATAAAAATATTACTATTTAATAGGTCTTAATGTGATAAATCTATAAACTAAATTTATATTTTTATAATTATTAGATTATAAATTATTCTTAAAATTAAAAATTGAAAAATTAATATATATATTGATAATAATAAATTTAAAAGTTTAAAAATACTATTATTAGTTACATTATATTATAAATCTAAAAATATTATTTTATTTTTTTATAATTGTTAGATATAAAATATTTTAAGTTTTTTAAAATATTTTTAATAGTATAATAATATTGCATAAATGAATTTTTTCTAAAGATTAAAATATATTATAATAGCTTATTACTAAGTTTTTTAATTACTTTTTATATAACTTTTTATAAAAGAATACAAAAATTAATTACATTTTATTTTATAAATATAAAAAAAAGAAAAAAATAAATTGCTATTATTTTAATAATAATAATTTATATGAAGATATAGAATTTAAGGAAATAAATAATGAAATAAAATGATAAAAAGATTTATAGAAATAATATTTATTTTGATAGAATTTATATCTTATTACATTAGAATTTTTAAAGGATCTTAATAATTTTATTAAAAATTAGATATTAATTTAGAAGAAAATCCTGATAATAGTAAAATAATTCTAAAAGAAATTAATAAGTATTAAAATTCTTATTTAACAGTTAAGCTTATTTGTAATAACTTTTTAAGTATATCAGTTAAATAAATTAATATTTTAAAATTTGATTTTATTTATAATATAACTATTATAATAAAAAAATAATAAATATTAACTATATTTAAAAACTTAGATAAATAGATAAATTTTGCAAATCTAATAAATTATTAAATAAATCTGACTTTTCTGATATATTACTTTATTAATTAATATCATTCTCTTATAAATTATATGTAATATTTTTATAATTGTAATAATATCTATTGTTAATATTAATAATATAGATTTTAGTATATTAAATATTAAATATTAATTCTATTATTCTCAGAAAATCTGATTCATAAATATAATATTGTAGATTAAAAATATTTATGATATATACTTTTATGTTATTTATAAAAAAAAAATTTATTTTTTTGATTTTGAATTGAATTAATAAAAATATTTTGTTTAATTAATAATAATTTATAAGTTTATATATATATATAACTTAAGTAATTCAAGATATAATTTATAATAAATGAATTATACATAATTTTTGTATTTTTATAAAAATATAATTTCTTATTCTTTTATAAATTTATTCATTTTAATTTATAAATTTTTTTATTATTTTTATAATAATATTTAAATAAATAATATTAAAATTGCTTTGTAAGATAAATATTTAGTAATTTAATATGTATTAAAATTTTTATTATTACTCTTTTTATTTATAATATAATTTTTTGTAAATAAGTATAATAATTATATAAAATTAATATATAATACAAAATATTTTTACATTTATATCTATTATTACCTCAATTATAATATCATAATATTTAATATTTAAATTTAAGTTAGAAATAAAATATTAATTTATATAAATTAAAGATAAAAATACTTAGTGATAATAATTACTTATATATTAATAAAATATAATTTAATTTTTATAATAAATATATTTTATTTAAATATTCTATATAATTTTTTTTTTTTTTACGATGTGGCACTGCCAGTAACTTTATTAAATTTATATATAAGGAAATACAAAGTAAATCAAAAATAAATCTATGCTAAGTATTAGCTATTCCCCGTAATTATATTACAAACCTATTTGAATTGACCTATCATCGTCTTTCTCCTCTATATAATTTTTATATAATATTTTTGTAATATATATAATATAATTTATCTAATTTAAAACTATTTATTTAGAGCAAAATCTTTATCTCATTAAAAATAAAAAAATTTAAGTTTTTAAATTTAAAAATATTATAATTTTATTATAAAAGAAATAAATATTTAATATAATAATATAGCTTAAAATGCTAAATTTGATTCAATTAATTTTTGACAAAATTACTGTAAATAGTTGACTAAAGTACCTTCGTAAGTATTGTATCCTTCTTGCATTTTTAAAGGCGAAAAATGTATTATACTCAGGATACAAAATACTAATAAATAAATTATTTTTTTGTAAAAAATGTATTGTATCCAGGGATACAATACTTAAATCAAAATATTTTTATTTTTAAAATAAAATTTGATTTATTTGATATATATATGATATATAAAAATATTCAATACAAAAAAAATTTTAAAAAAAAAATTAATTCCAAACATTTTCATAATTTGGCAATTCCTCTTCATCATATTTATTAAATTCTAAGTCATTTAATGGTAAATCATTTTCAGATTCATTATTAGATTCATCATTTTCTATTTCATCTTCATGGTAAATATTATTTTCTTCATTCTTTTTATTATTCTTTTTTTTAGATAAAGAATTATAATCAAATAATAAATAATCTTCACTTCCATCTCTAGCTACTGATAATCCACAACATTTAAATGATTTGTAAATTAAAATAGTATCAACATCATTTTATAAATCCATAATTCTACATCCTGCTAATGTTAATTAATGAATTTCTGAAGCCATCCAATCTTGATAATGTTATCTCAATTTAGATTTAAAACTTTTATTAATAGGAATATCCAATGGTTAAAGTTTACTAGTAAAACCACCTGGAATTACTGCTATATTTGTTTGTTTTTCAACAAATCTATTCTTGACAGAATCAACTAAATGCTATCTAAAAGAATTCAAAACTAGAAGAGATTGAGGATTACTTAATGGATTATATTGATTCTATACATTTTCAATCTACCATAACATTTCATTTTCATTTATCTATCCCTTTTCATTTACACAAATGTTAATACCTTGAGGAAATTGCTCTCTTAGAATATTTTATAATTTAAAAATACAAGTAGCTGGAAGTTTAATACCATCAGCCAAACATAATAAAACAATAGTAAAATAAGTTTTTTTATAACCAGTTATACGAATAGTTACTGTTGATGTATTACATTAATCTAATATTGTATTTGAAGATAAATCAAAAATAACTGGTATCTCATCCATATTACCAATATATTTTAAAGGATAATCATATTGAATTCTTCGATATAAAATGAAAACTTTGTTATTTTTGTAAAAGATAATCCAGAAGATGTTATGCAATATAAGTTTAATGAAGTGTCACAAAATTAAATCTTTTCATAAAACCTTCTAATCATGTTGTTGAAAATTTAAAGTAATTAATATTTAGATAAAGATTAAGATAATCTTTAGCAATAGATTTAGTCTTTTTAATAACCATATTTTGTGTAACTGCTTTTGCTACTTGATGTATATTTGTTACCCATAAAAACAGATGTGCTTCCCTTCCTTTATGCAGTTTTTAAATATAAGAAGCTGCATTTTCTAATTGATTTTGTTGGTTTTTCTAATATCTTATTTGTTAGGCTTAACTTCAAATTTTTTGGCTGCCAACCTATTATTTTCACATTGTTCAGCATAATGGATAATAAGCAACTTTTTTCTTGCACATCACTACCTTTTTTTCTTTAAAGTAATATAAGATTTTTTATAAGAACCCTTATTATGATGTACTACCATTTTTTTTAAAAAAGAGAAAGGAACGCGTTTAAAAAAAAATAATGTGAAATTAATTTATTCGCATTACATCTTGATCTAATTTTGATTTCAAAATTAGAAACTCATAACAAATTTTTCGATCACATCCTCTTCAAATATAGCATCCAGTTCTACTAAAATTCATCAGTAATGTTGATTGATTTTTTTTTCTTTCTATCAGCTTATTTATTATTAGTAAATAACTTTGATTTTAATTTTTAAAATTAGTTAAGAGAAACTATCCAATTTGGCTACTTTAGATAATTCAAATTTAATAGATAAAATTTAAACTAGAACAATTTAAACTAAAACAAAGTTTAAATAAAAAAAATTTTGAATGGATCAAAAAATTATTTTATTGACAAATTTTAATATGCAAAAATTTGTCATACCGTATAGTCCTGAAAATAAGCATCACATGATATATATAAATTTATCAGTATATACGTGACTAATAATATAATAAATTCCATATGATAAATAAATAAATTACTATAAAAGGAGTGTATCACGGAGTGCTTATTTTTGGGACTATACGGTACATATTTTTATTAGTTTCAGCAAATATTTTTGTACTCCATCACCTTATTAAAATACTTGTACTCCTGAAGTTTGAGAAAATTGTATCATACCTGGGGTATTTTAGTCAACTATTTACGGTAATTATATATAATAAATTAATTAAACTTAAATCTAAAATAATTAAAACCAATTTAATATAATATAAATTAATTATAACAAGTATTACTAATATAATATTAATAACAAAAAATATATCTTTTAAGAATAATGTGAAGTAAATTTAAATTTACACTTTAATTTTAGCTTATCATTAAGAATTTATAGAAAATAATAATAAAATATTATCTAAAGATAAATATATAATAGCAAATAATTTTTTATTTATTATTAATATTAAAAATAAAGTGTTTAGTAATTTAATAACTAATCAATTTAATGATATTAATGTAACATACTATTAATGAAAAAATTTACATCGAATATATATAGAATAGTTAATAATTGATTGATCAATAATCATTTAATACTTTATATAAAAGATAAATATATTATAAATAAAGGAAATCTAATATTTTATATATTAAGTAAAAAGTTTAATTATTTTAAAATTATATAATGCAGAATAATAAATATGATAAATTTAACATATTAACTTACAATTATTACATTAGATTTATAGATCATAAGAAGTAAAGTGTTAATTTAATTATATATAATGAATTAATTCAATTTAATTTTCAAAATACAATTCTCGAAAAAAATAATGAGAATTATATTTTTATTTATTGCATAATAAATAAAGGTCAAAAATACATAAAAAATTTATAAAAAGTTGTTCATCATATTATGATTATATCTCTAAAAATTATTTAATAATCTGCCTTATTACCATTTCATTTAATTACCTGTTTTAATTTCGATGGTATGCTACGGATTAAATTAACAAAAATTTTAGGCTCAACTTCCTCCCATTTTTTTTGAATTATCTCGCAAAAAATATCTACAGTAATTAAACTTTTTTTAGCCACCAGTTTGTTAACCTTTTTCTATAGGATTGAGGTCAGGGCTATTTGATAGCCAGTCCATTAACCTCAGATAATGATCTGTAAGCAATTTCTTGGTTTTCTTAGCCATGTGTTTAGGATAATTATCTTGTTAGAACACTCAAGACCTTCTCATGATAGAATTAGCATTATCAAAGAGATTTTCCTTTAAAATTTTACGATAAAAGATACCATCCATATTTTCAGTAAAAAGAAGGGTGCCAATTTGACCTTTGATTAAAAATGCATCTTATACATGAACTTTATATAGATGTTTTACCATAGGCTTTTGTGGAGGTTTTGTATCAGCTTTGTAAAATACTTTTTGGGTATTCCTAAACATTTAAAATGTAGCTTTGTCAGAAAAATGACTTTATTCCAGTTTTGATTTTTATATTTTTCTGTAAGAAAGGGTATAGATTTTAGAACTTTACAAATATAATTGAGGTTATGAAGCTTATTAAGCACTATGCGGTCAGTTATGTCAAGGTTAGTATACTTGATATTTAAAATATTTGCAAGCTCAGTGCATGTTGAGAATTTGTTTATTGAGATAAGCTGACCAAGATAATGGCATTTTTTAGGAGAAAGTTTCTTTGGTCTTTCAGGTCAAGGTAAAGGGTCTAAAGTGGTATTTTTTTGAGTTTTTTGATATATTTATAAACAGTAGAGAGAGGAATAGAAGTTAGTTCATGTAAAGTTTGGACTTTGTGAATACCATTTTCCCATAAAGAGGTTATTATAGTATAGCGTTGTTTTAGTGTAACTCGAACCATTATGTGTCTGGTGTAACCTTGGCCAAAACAAAAACAATGATGATCATCATAAACAAAAATGATTGTTGTGTCACCACGTGATAGGATTTTTTTGTAAGTTGTATATTGCGGAAAATTTTTAAGTTTTTTTCCGCTACATTCAGTGTTGTCATGGAACATGGACATGGACGTTGGACGTCCGGGACGGGACAGTCCGTGTCCATGTCCAGAAATTTTTATGTCCCGGACATTTTATCCAAGTCCGCAGTCACGTGACACTGATCAAATTTTATTTCTCCGGGATGAAACTTTATATTTCTAATTATCTTACAAAACTAATTATATTATCAGTTTATGTAATTTTATAAGATTAAATAAAAAAGAATAATTATTCCTAAATCATATTTAAACCACATTTTTTTATTTTGTCAACT